CGTGTTTGACCCATGTTTGAACCATGCTTCCGTTTTTGACCCATGTTTCCGTGTTTGACCTGTGTTTGACCCGTGTCTAACGTGGCTGTGTTGTGGTCCAGCGGCGGGTCGTGGGTCGTGGACCGCAGAAGAAGAGTCCAGGTTGAAGCAGGCAGTCCGGGCTCACCTGGAGACTCTGGCCCAGAGTTCTGCAGATTCTAGTCTTAGCAGAGACCAGCTGTGTAACAAGCTGCCCTGGAAGGACATCAGCCAGCAGGTGGAGACCCGGGCCTGGACCCAGTGTCGCCTCAAGTGGTCAGTACCCTCTGCTGTACTGTGTGCTGGTACTGTGTACTTTATACTTCAGATGTGAGGAATGATTTATATTAAATGCTTACGGGTACAGCACAGTACTTTACTGCACTCAGGAATCCTGAGGACTGTGCTGTGTACTCTGTGTATTCTGACGTGTACTCTGTGTATTCTGACGTGTACTCTGTGTGGTTCAGGTTCTCCATCTTGAAGTCCAAACTGTCTTCATCAGGCAGTAAATTTAACCGAGGAGCTGATGGACTTGAGGCAAAAATCCAACTAATTAAAACGTAAGATCACAGAACACACCTGGTACCGGTACCTGGTACCTGGGTACTGGTGTGATCAGTACAAGTAATTTATTGTATTATGTGATCACAAATCAGAGCAGCTGATATGAATCCAAACCAAACTATCTGTGTGTCAGTTTGTACCAGATGAACATCAGTGATTCTTCAGACATTAACTGGGATGAAGTGGCTGAAAAGCTCAGGTGAGTTTAAAGGTCAAGCGGCAGCGCTGACAGAGGTACCGCCAGTCGGACTGCCCGCAGCGCCGACAGAGGTACCGACAGTCGGACTGCCCGCAGCGCCGACAGAGGTACCGACAGTCGGACTGCTCGCAGCGCTGACAGAGGTACCGCCAGTCGGACTGCCCGCAGCGCCGACAGAGGTACCGCCAGTCGGACTGCCTGCAGCGCTGACAGAGGTACCGACAGTCGGACTGCCCGCAGCGCTGACAGAGGTACTAACGGTGGTACTTTTTGTGTTGCAGTAAGGTGACTCCCGTGTGCGTACAGAAGATGTTCCACAGACTGAAAGTTTCCAGAGTTCCTAACTGGACCCATTTGTCATATGGAGGTGAGTACTACAGTACTAGTAGTAGTATTAGTAGTACTACTACAGTAATACGTTATCCAAGGAGCTTCAGTAAATGTCTAAACCATCGTCTTCATTGAAGATTCCTCTTTAGCTCAAGCTCCTAGGTGAGGATGATTTGTGTTCATGGATGTGAAGCTGGCTGGGCGGGGTGCTGTAGCTCCTCCTCTGTGTAGAGATGCTGCTCCAGTCTGATGTTCTGCAACCATCTTCTCTGTCCAGAATGTGGCTTTACTGTCCTCAGAGTGTAGCTGGATGCTGAGTCTGGTCCTGAGGAGCTGCTCTGCTGTGATGTAGCTGCAGTTTAGGAGAGACGTAACCACAGCTACAGAAGATCATGTAGGAGAGAATAAACCACAGCAGAGCAGCTCCTCAGGACCAGACTCAGCATCCAGCTGGACCTGAAGGACCAGAGACACTCTGAGGACAGTAAAGCCACATCGTGGACATTGATGTTCTCTGATGTCCTCTTTGTCCTCAGAGATCATCGACCACCTGCACCAAAGGTCCGTCCCCGTCCTGGAGGACAGACTGAGCAGGTGCAGTAGGACGGAGCACCAGGAGGACCAAGAACAAGGGGACACATACCAGCTGTCAGACATCTTCAACTCAGAGAACGAAGACAGAGAGGTTGGCGACAGCTGACCAGCAGCCAATCTGCTGCTTCAAAGACTCCGCCCCCTGCCTGTGATTGGCTGTCAGACTGAAATTAACAGAGGCTTTTATTTTGAAAGTCCACGTGTTCCACACCACGTTTGATGTTTTTCATGAAAAGATTGTTTTACATTGTTCACATGAGCGGTTTTTATTAAAGTGATCAGTGTTATTGATCAGGTGTTGATTTCTCACAAACCCATGAGCTACAATCCATTGTTTCATTTAGTTTAATAGAAATGTTACATCAGTTTATTTAAACCCCTGAAGCTTCATCATGTTCCTACAACTCAACTCAGCAGATGATCAATATCCAATCAGTATTGATTGTCACTGCGTCCAAACACTTTGATCTCACAAATAATTAACAGATTGATCAGATAAACAGATTGTAATGACTGACAACGTATTGATTCTGGTTAATTAATGAAATGATTTACCACAGAACATCACAGCAACATTGAAGTGATGCTGAAGCAGATGTACGATGATCAGAAGGGTTAGGGNAGGACAAGGACAGAAGGAGAGAGGAGGAAGAGGAGGTGAAGTGCCTTCCTCCTCCTGCTGATGGAGAGACAAGTTTTAAGAAGAAGAAGAAGAAGAGAAGGAGAGAGGAGGAGGCGACCATCTTGTGTCCTGCTGTGTACGAACAGACGAGCAGGAAGGAAAAGGAGGCGGTGGCTCAGGTCGCCATAGAAACCAGTGACACCAAAAAGAAGACGAAGAAGAAGAAAGGGCAGAACGGTGTGTGTGAGGAGAACATCGCCACGGCACCAAGCAGCAACAGAGAACCAGACTCCATTGTCACCACGGTAACCAAAAAGCAGAAAAAACAGAAGGCCAGCGTCACCACGGCAACAACAAGACACCCAAACCATGGAAGCCCATGGGTTTCTATGGAAACCAACAACAACACAGACCTGCAGTGAGTGTTGTTGATTTTGTGTTAACGTGAAGCTCAGACGTCAGAGCAACAGTCGCTGAGTGTGTGCTGTGTGTTCAGGGTGGACTGGGCTCTGGTGGACGAGCTGCAGGAGTTCATTCCAGACGTCAAGAAGAAACCAATCGATCAGATCCAGAAACTGCTGCGATACGACCTGCAGCGCTTCAAGAACTTCAAGCAGCAAGGTACAAATACTGTAGAAACAGTTCAAAGTACAAATACACCTCAAATTACAAAATCCGATAACTGCAAACACTTCAGACAACAGGCGGCTGATGCAACAAACACACCTGTTGTTCCTTCAGGTGTGTCTCTGCGTCGGGGGCGGTGCTCTGAGCAGGAGAACCAGCAGATTATACAAAACGTTGCAGACTTCCTGGCTCTGACAGGCATCGCCTCGGCAAATCAGCTTCTGTTTCCTCAGAGGTTCAAAGAGCAGCAGGCGGAGCTTAAGAAGCTCAAAGTACAGCATCACTTCCTGGAGAGGATTGGTACGTAAACACGTTAGCAGGTCTCCAGGCAACATCCTCAGGTGTGACGTCCCTGACATGATGTCTTCTGTCACAGCTGTCGATCAATAACACAAAAACACCTGTCTGTCTGTCTGTCTGTCTGTCTGTCTGTCTGTCTGACTGTCTGTCTGCCTGTCTGTCTGACTGTCTGTCTGTCTCAGCTGAGGGTGTTCCTCGGACGTGTCACCAGGTTTACGTCAGAGCCAAGAAGATATTTGATGACGGGAACCACATGGGAAGGTCTGTTCTACCTGCAGAACCCTCTGTGATGTTCTTTCAGGTTCTCAGAGGAGAACTGAGTGTTTCTGTTCTACCTGCAGAACCCTCTGTGATGTT